GACACGCTATGCTTTCATTTGCATACAGTTTAATGAATTTTTTTATTTCACTTGAGACTACCTGTCTGTCCTACTATTTATTTACAAGCATGTTATTTTATTTCCATGTTTGGAAATTTTCCTATACTTCTGTAATGGATTTCTACTTTGATACAGTCATGGTTGGCAAATACCCTTTGTTAGGATTTAAGTTCTTTAAGATTTTTTGAGGTTTGTTTTATGGTTCAGGATTTCGTCTGCTTTTCTACATGTTCAGAATGGTATTCATAATAATTTGTACTCTCCTGTTGTGAGGGGTGTTCTGTAATTATTTATGACATCCTATTGGCTGATGACATTATTGAATTCTTCTATTCTCATGCTGATTTTTAGAGAGGGTATTGGAATCTCCAAAGATGATTGTCTATTTCTCCTTTCAGTTCTCAGTTTCTGCTTCACATATTTTGCAGCTCTACTGTTTGGTGCATACACATTTAGAATGCTATTTCTTCCTAGTGACTGCCTTTTCTATTATTATATAATGTCCCTATCTCTGACATTTCCTTACCTCTAAAAATCAACATTTTCTTTTTTTCTTTTCTTTTTTTGTACCAGGGATCAAACTCAGGACCTTGCACTTGAAAGGCAGGCAGCAGAACCACTGAGCTAAATCCCCAGCCCAAACATCATCATTTTCTACTGTTAATAGAATTACTTTGGATTTTTTGAATACTGTGTGCATACTTTTACATTAAAGTAATATATATATATATATGATATTTATTGATAATTTTAAAATCACAGACCTTTGCAAACTATACATAGATACCACCTTTGAAAGTTTTTTTAGCAAGAAAGATGCTGAAAGATGTAACATGAAAAAATCAGAAATAAGATGGGAGATACAAGCTACTATAAGTACTATTCAATATTTTTCTAGAAGTTTTCATCAACAGAATAAAATATGAAAAATAAACAATAGATTAAAACACTGAAAAGAGGAAAAACAACTGCTATTAGATTATATTAATGTCAACAAATAAAACCAAGTGAATTAATAAATGATAATTAAGAACAGCATTCACCAAGATAGATAAATAAGCTGCACAGGTAAAAAAAAATAGTTCTCTTTAACCTCATTTTTGGGGGGGAAATTTATATTTTATATTCAAAATAGAACATGCTTCGGCCAGGATTTAGCCCAGTGGTTCCGCTGCCTGCCTCACCAACACAAGATCCCAAGTTCTATTCCCGGTACCAAAAAAAAAAAAAAAAGGACAAAATAGAACATGCTCATAGCAACAATAAAGACATTAACATATCCAAAGAAATGCAAATCCTGTGATGTGAGCTCTCGCACCATATTGGAATAAAATCAGAAACCAATAGCAGAAACATACATAGAATACAATAACTTTTTTCTCTCTCTTTTCTCCTGTTAACTCTTTCACCTAAGGGAAATCATACAATGTTCAGGCTTGTGTGGCTGATTTATTTCACCAACATTAGAGTCTCAAGGTGCATCTGTTTTTCTACAAATGCCTTGTTTATCTTTCGTAACAGCAGAGTAATACTCTATTGTGTATAAATACCACATTTGCTTCATCCATTCACCTGTTGATGGGCATATAGGCTTGTGTCCAAGAATTGGCAATTATGAATTGGGCTGTTATAAACATGGGTACACATATATCAATGTGGCATGATTTTTATAATTATTTTGAGAAGATACCCAAAAGAGAAATGGCTGGATCAAATGAGATTTCTATTTTTAGTTTTTTAAGGACTCTTCGTACTGATTTCCAATATCAGTTTACACTCCTATGAACAATGGAGAAGGGTTCCTTTCTCTCCACAACTTTGCCAGCATTTGTTATTGGCTGATTTCTGAGTGATAGCCATTCTTTCATGATTACCCTTTAATTCTGGAAGTATATGTTCTCTAGATTCATTTGGATTTATCCTGCTTAAAATTTGCCATTTTTCTTAAATCTATATGTTGACTCTGTGAAGTTTTCAGCCATTATTTGTTTTAGTCTTTTTTGGGCCCTGTTCTCTCTCCTCTCCCTCCAGGACCCTGACAACACAGGTCCCAAAAGTTGACTCTGTTTTCTCCTTTGTGTTTAGAGTCACTAGGCTGTTCTGTTTTCAAACTCTGTCCCTTCCAATCGGCTACTGAATACATCCATTAATTTTTTATTTCAGTTTTTGTAATTTTCAGCTTTAAACTATTTATTTGGTTCTATTTTATATCTTGTATTTCTTGCTGAGGCTATTTTTTAAAATTTGTTTCAAGAGACTAAAATTGTTTGCTGAAGCATTTTTATGAAAGCTACTTTAAAATCTTTCCAGGCAATTCTATCCACTCTGTCATCTGTGTTGGCATCTATTGATTGTACTTTTCATTATTTGAGATCTTCCTGGTTGTTTGTATGAGGAATGATATTTTTTTAATGAGGCCTGGACATGCTGAAGATTATGTTTTGAGGGTCTTATTTAAGCTCTGTTTCATCCAGCTTCCTCTGACATTGCTCTTGCAGGAGCGAGGAGGGGTGCCATCTGTTTCTGCCAAGAACGAAACGTCCAGGTTTAATACTCAGCTTCCACTGAGACCTGAGGGGAGTGGGCTTGTTCCTCCTGGGCAGGATGGGAGCCCCATCTCCTCATTAGGTCTGCGCTGACACTGCCCTGCCAGGGAAGGGTAGGAATGTCTCATTACAGCTCACCACATGGCCTGCCCTGACACCACTGGGTATGGGAGGCAGAATGGCCATATTACTTAGGGAAAGGCAGTGGCATACTCTGTGATAGGTTTCCTCAGGGGGTAAGAGGAAGGATGCCTCCTTCCTGCTGAGTGAGTGGAAATCTGGGTTTCCCATTTGGCTGTCATATTTCGGAAACATCCCCTAGGGGTCCACATGTTGATGCCAACCTGCGATGCTGCTGGAAGGTGGCAGAGTACTTGAGAGTGGGCACAGTTTGAGGGCTTTGGGTTTCTGGGGCTATGCCCTTGAAGGGGATAGTGGGGCCCTGGCCCCTTCTCTTTCTTCGCCTTCCCAGCCATCACAAGGTGAGCAGTCCAAAAGATCATGGACCGAAGCCTCTGAAAACTGAGCCAAAATAAGCCTTTCTTCCTTAGAAGGTGATTTTTCTCTTGTATCACAGCGGTGGAGAGCTAAAAACTGGCCTTCTCCAACACTAGTCTGCTGGAGGGTTGGGGTACCTTGTTAAAGTCTAGTGGATGGGAAGTCTAGCCACACCATTTTGTCCTTGTTGGTGTGTCTGGGGCCAGCCCAACAGGTTTTCCATAGTCCAGGTGAAGAGTAAGATTGTGAAGCTCATAGGGTGAGCAAGGAGAGTGGCACAATTTCTCAAGCAGATGAAATAATCCTCGGCCCTCCCAGGGAGGCTGTCATTCTATCCTTAGAGCTTGCCTTGTTTCCCACACAAACTCAGTGCTCTAAGTCAGGTCAGGAGGTTCTGGGCAGGGCAGAATCCCTGGGGGAGGAAGCCCTGCTGTGGCAGGAAAGAGGAATGAGCAGGGAGAAACCTCTTACCAGGCCCTTCTCAGAGGGCTGCCTTCTCTCTACTATGCTCTCTCTGATGGCAAAGCATTAGGAGGTCTTATAACAAGTGATAGCAACATGCTTTCAGACACCATCTCCTGTGCTGCCAGTCCAGACTGGACGGGAGACATGACAAGCTGTGATCACCCCTGCGAAGTGATCTTTCTCACGGACTCCAAGGGGTCAGCCCCTGTTAGGGTTTGGGTCTTAGATGTCCCCTAAAAGATCATGTGTTGAAGGAGTGGTCCCCCATACAGCAGGTGACTGGAAGGTAATTAGATCCTGAGGGACTCACTCAAGATGGATTCCTGATTTAATGGTTTTGGGGAGGGGCTTTATTACCAAGGCAAGCTCTTTTCTGTTTCTCGGCTGCCAGGAGGCAAGCAGCTTTGCTTCCCCACAGGCCTTTCGCCATGTTCACTCTGGTCTCGCTTCGTGCCAAAGCAATGGGCTACACAACCATGTACAGAAATCTCTGGAACTAGAAGCCAAAATAAACCTTTCCTCCACCAAGTTGATTTAATCTCAGGTGTTCTGTCACAGTGACAGAAAGCTGACCAACACAGCACCGGAGACAGGAACCTTCCCCAGGTCCCAATCTCCTGGCTCAAGCTCTCTGTAAACCAGGGGGAAAAAAATATCAGAGTTGAGTTTTTGGAACAAGAAGAAAGTCCATACTGGTTTGATTAACATTAAAATGTGGGCCCTACTCACACCTGGCATTGTATGCTAAGCAGACACAGAGGCGACAGCAGTCTTGGTGCAATGGCAGAGGTCCCCACAGTTATTATGGTGACAAGGTGCAGGCTGCCCAGTGCCATTGGTTAGGGCTTTTCACACTGAGGATGCATGAAATTACGCACTCGGATGGAGCCATGCCTACATTCATGCCAGTTAGCAAGGTGGCATCCTCTCATTACCCCTTTGGTCAGAAATCCACCCGGGGGGGTGTGATTAATGACATGCTCCTAAAACCTGGGGGGAATGGACCATCCCTCGTGCCGGGAAGAGTGAAACTGCCACTCTCAGTCACATCAATCACTGCACGTCAATCCCCGTTTCCTCACTGTCACACCTTGGTGAGCCGCTCTGTGGCCTCCAAGATGTGACAAGGTTCCTGGGACAGCGGAATCTGCTGCTCTCGGAGACATCTTGTACCTCACTTCAAAGCGAGGTCAGAGCGGATCTCTAATTATCCCAATACACTCCCGGCTCTGAGACGAGACCCGCCAAGAAGGCAACAAAGGGAATGGGGTGGGTACCTCAGGAGAAACCCTAAATGCGGAAAGCGAGCCTGATTCATTTCACAGCTGCAGTCTGTTTCAATTTGTTCATAATTTTCTACACTACTGCTTCCAATTTGATACTGTCCGGGCCGGGGATGACAATAAGAATGGGATCAGACGATGAGCTCGAAATACCGAACACAATCATGCCCACCCTGCACGTACGTACAATCAGTATGTCACTTGGAAGGAGGAGCCATGGGCCGCTGGGCACAGCTGGGAGTGTAAAGTGTCACAATTCGAGACGTATTTCTTCTATACTCAGGGCCTGTCACCATAGCTGCCTCACTGCAATGGAGGAGAAACGAGACTTAATGTTTCCTAATCAATTGCGTCAGACAAATGAATTAAAAATCCAAAGTGACTATAGGGAGAATTTCCACAGGACCCCTCTTCCTTTGCTTGACAGGGGTGCTACGTACTGTTTTCAGGTTATATACTGCACAGCTCCAGAAGGTACAATTCCCCCAGTCTACACTGTGATATAACACCTCCAACGGTGATGAAGTCATTACCCTACAACCATATGTAGCAACCCAGCTGCTAGTAATTTGGAGCTAGTATCCCTAAGGGCCCATGGAATGTCACAAAAATGTATCACAAAGACTCAGCCACCATAGTGCCCACACCGACAGCCGAGAAAATCCATGTATAGATCCATGAATTACTAATAAAGTTAACTTCCTGTCACTGAGCTCAGCAGACATTCTGGTCAAGAAAGCCATCGCATAGAAACATGCACGCGTTATCCACTCTTTTGGTATGTATGTGCATATCATTAAAATTTTCTAAATGTAACAACTCCCTTAAACGTGATCTTTCTTGGCTGAGAGGCATTTCGGCAAGCTTTTAAGGAGAAACCTTGCACTATTTATTAAAACGTAAGATTTTAATATCCTGCGAACAGCATTTCCACTTCCAAAAACACTATAAAAATAAGTTAATGTGCATATATATATATTAGAATGTTTGTATATATATATATTAGAATGTTTGTATATATATATATATATATATATATATGTACATCTACATATATACATAACTATGTCTTTATGGTATGGTTCTAAAGCAAAAAATGAAGTAAACTCTTTGAGTGTGTTAGGGATTTGCTAAATATTATGGTGGGAGATAAGCCTGAATGGGCTTATTTGTTTTGTCTGTGGAGGAACAGTTTTGCTTTTCAGCAGTGAAGAGAAGGCTAGGAGGGCTAGGAGGGTGTGCAGCAAATGTTCCCTGCCTTTTGGCTGGGGAGGAGGACAGCATTTTGTTCTTTTTTTTTTTTTTTTTTTTTTTTTGTATCATGGATTGAAGTCAGGAGCCCAGGCCAGGCAGGCGCTGCGAGGCTGAGCTTCATCCTCACCCCTACGGCAAATGTAAAGACTCTACTATTCGTATTTGTAGAAGGCTTTCATCTTTTTTTCTGGACTCTTGGAAGCTCTGAGGAATTAGTTGTCATGGTCACCCTCTTCACGAGGTCAAAGAAAACCGCAGACCCCTTTGCAGTGAGACGCAATGCACAAGACTTCCAAGAAGAGGCGAAGCGGTCTGGGACGGTCATTTTTCTGGAGGACACAGCGCTCAAGACAGCCTCCTCCTACACCGCAGACAGGGGCCCTGACACAGCCTCGGCGTCAGGGTTAGCAGCTCCCACCCGAGCCACAGGCAGCATTCAGGACTCACGGGTGGCGACAGCAGCATCAGGTCTGCTGGGCAGTGGAGGTTCGGCCACTGTGCAAGCCACGCTCCGGACCTTGTTGCCTGGCGCTCTGACACTTGGCACTGCCTGGGCTCCTTTTAGTGAGCACCTTCTCTTTGTAGTGAGCCGAGTCTGCTTCCGATGCCGGGGAAGATCCATGATCTGTAACGGTGAAACTCATCACTTTTAGTTTTGAAAAGTCCGCACTTCTCTACTGCAGACCCTCTAAGCCACGATTCGAACACCAGGTTGAGCTCTAGAGAGCTGAGTAAGAATGTAGGCTCAAATCTTGCGGGGCCTGGTGGCCCCAAACCCAGTTGAAGGGGCGTGGCCACTGCTGTCCTTGCAGCCAGACAAGTTTGTACAGTTGCGCACAAATACTTTATCGCATTTGCGCCCTTGTACATAAAAATGGATAGTGAGAAAATGTTGATATTTACAGCAAGAACACAAGGTCTCCTATGCTTAATAAAACTAGAACGACGAGATCACTGGGGTACCCCACGGGGAAAGCCTTTTTAGCCTTGAGATGTTGCTCACGGGACATAAACTGGCGGACTTTGTGTTTGGCGGCAAAGTAAAAAAAAAACAAAATGCATGCATACAAATGAAACACCAGAATGATTTAGCTGAGATTGTAATCACCTTAGAAAGTGTACATCTATTATTCACTTTTGCATATTTAACTCTTGAACATCTTTTCAGAGATACATTATGGGTGAAAGTGCAAGCCTGCCCACATAACCTACAGTAAAATAAGGATGTAGGAGATTGTGTATAGGTTTGAACACAGCTTTCAAGCATAGATGTCTGTTGTACTGTAGATAGGCACTGAAAACTCTGAGTACATACCCTGAAAACTCTAAAAAGGTGTTAACGCTCTGGGTGGAGATGGTAAAGGAATTTTCTTTATTTCACACAGTCTTGAATTGTTTGAAATTTTGTAATGAACAAGTGTAACATGCTGTTGTAATCACCAGAAACCTTAGGAATATACAGACATTATGAAGAAAAGGTGCAACGGCTTTGGAAGAGCTTTTCAAGACCTGAAACAGTGGACCCTTGACTTATGAACTCAATTTATTCCTGAGGGCTGGTCGTAACTCAAGTTGGTCACCTGAAGGCTCAGGCTCCTCTTCACAGCCTTCAGTCTCTCTCCTGTGCACAGGCAGACCTCCCCGTCCTCAGAGAGACACTGGCCCAGGATTTCCACTTAGCCCCACACAGGAGAGGATGCTGCCATGTTCCTTCCAGAACTCTTTTAAGGGTTAAATCTGTCTCTGAGATCATCTGGAAGCACAAGTGGCCAGCATTTGGGTCATACCTGTAGACTCTGACCGTAAGTTAAAACTAAAATTCCAGTTATAATCCAAGTAGTTCATATGTCAGGCTGGTCGTAACTCGAGGGTCCACTGTATGTAGTGTGGTGCCTGTTATGCCTCCCTATGGGACCTACGTCTTGATCCTAATATGCAGAGTGGCACACAGTATCACAGCACAGGGATCCTCTGCAGTTCTTCACAGTGAACACCCAAGGACAAGCGGGTAGGTGCCACCCCATACCGATTCTGCCCCCACGGAGCTGCCAACAGACGCGGGAACTGTGTCCTGTCTTAGCAGGACTGCCTGGCTGTACGATGTGGTGTACACAAGTTTAATGGGTTGTCCTGCTGCATTTTGAGAGAGCCTTGCCCAAAGGGAACAGAAGCCACAGAGCTCACCAGTATCAGACAGTACAGAGTGACACGAGTCTGACTCTCTCCAGGAGGCAGACAAAAAGCTTGTGGCAACTCGGGGCGGGATGAAACTCCATGCGAAGAGTTCTCCACGCAGAATCAAACTGTTCTTATTTTTAGTGCTTTTCAGGAAGGCAACTTATACTTTGTAGCATTTCTTTATTCTCCTAGTAAGTTTTTTAAAAGTCTCCTAAATTCAAATGGTTATCAAAATAAAATGATGGTGGAAAGGGGCTAAAGGTATTTGGCTTTGTGAAGTGGACACTTGCCGGGGCACAGGGATGTGCTTTGCTAGGACAAAAGAAGGTTCACTGCGCGTGGATGCCTGGGTGTCCAGGGCAGACGTGTAACCTGTGCTTTCAGCTGGAGCAGTCCTCCTGGTCACTAGAGTTCAAGTTTGCAGCTGTGCTGAGAAAGACCATTCTGCTACTCATCCTTCTCTTCGTTCTGGCTTGTGAGTAAAAAGTTTGTTTTCTTTTTGTTTTTAACCCCGTGGCAAGGGCAGAGCCTGAACCATGAAACTCACCAGGGAATCAAAAGTTCTTGCTGAGATCCCTCTCCCTGGTCGGTTAATGTCTCAGTGGTCTTTAGCCCCTGCTCTCTCTCTCTCTCTCTCTCTCTCTCTCTCTCTCTCTCTCTCTGTCTCGCTCTCTCTCTCTCTCCAAGGCTGTTGGCTCAGCTCTGGTTTCCACAACTCTGTAAATGAGGCTCTGTGGCTGGGCTCCCAGAGTGGCAGGAGCACCGGAAAGGCTGCAGGGAAGTGATTCTGCAGGGAAGCCTCAGCTATGGCCCTACCTCCTCCATGATGGGCTGGCAACGGGAGCAAGGGAGAAGAAAGAAAGCTCTGAATTTCTTGCTTACTGTTCACTTACTTGAGACCAAGTGACAGCCTCTTCTGCCTCTCTGATTCCTTGCCCCGGGCACTGAAGGGAACCTGCTTTGCTGGGTATCTCCCATCTTCCTCCGGCTCTGGGACAATTCAAGGTTTTATGTCAACTCCTCTGTTAACTGTGGGAAACATCCTGGGGGTCGAGAGGGATCTAAAGAGAACAGGGCAACCATTTATTAGACTGTGTCACTCTGCTAGGTAAGCAAGGAAGGTGGATTAGGGTGACTCCTCAGCGGGAGAGAGGACCGGGGTGAACGGCACACTTTGGAGCTAGAACTGTCAAGAATTGATGGGTATAAAGTATGAAAGAAAGACGCGAGTTAAGGGTGAAACCAAGATGTTGGAATCGAAGAGCTGGGTGAATGCAGGGCCATTCATCAAGATGAGAAGGAAGTGGGCCAAACATAAAGAGGGTCCCCTCACTAATTTTACATTGTCAGAGTCTTCAGAGACAAGGAAAGTTCTGTCATTGCTGTTGTTTTAGGGACCACCGTTCACCTGGATTTAGTTCATCTGTTGTGCCACACAACATGCAACAAAGCAGAGGAAAAACAGACAGAAGAAGTCGGGTCTTCTGTAGGAGAGATCTGTCCCATCCCCCAGGCTGCATGAAGAGGGGTTCACGGTCCACTGGGGGTCCTGCTGACTGGCACCTAACTTAATGTCTACACCCCAGCCTGTTGGCTCTGTCTTGACCATACTGGAGCCTCTGTGAAAAGATGTGAGAAAAGCAACGGTTTCTTTCTGAAGCCCTGAACAAGCCACCACTTAGAGGTGTGATCAGAAAGTACAGCGAAGGGTAGTTTTTCAACATTTTTAATACAGCAAAAGACATATTGCCATTGATCTCCCTCCAAATCCTCCCTTTGCTTTGAACACAGTTATCACACTGTTTTTGCTGCTTCCTCAAGCAATTGTGGAAGCTCTCTTTCCTGTCTTAAGTTAGACTCTTGCGGCTGCCTCAATGTCCTGAAGAGATTCCAAACCTGTACCTGTTGCTGTCAGTCCGAAGAGCCGAAGTGTTTTCACAAGCCCACCTTTTCACTGGGTGGCAGGCAGCAGCAACATGCACAGCATTTTTAGATTTTTTATCACACTTCCTAAAGACACTTACAAAAGAGGACTCCCAGAACTGCTTCGGAAAGTGGCAACAACAGGATACCCAGGTCCAAACCAAGGAGGAGTATTCTCAGTGAGATAACTGGTAATGTAACTCTTCCTGTATAATTTGTAAAATCTAAATGTTCACCATATATTTGACTCCACATCAAGAAGTCCACTAAAATGATTTCTGTTTTATTTCAATGTCACCTCAGTGAATTCGGTTTCACAAACTGACTACTACTCTCCCCTCCAAAACAAACAAAAGAAAAAACAACAACAAAAATAAAACTAACATGAGAAAGTAGCCTCTTTTAAGTCAAAAGAAATGTTCTTGGGGTACATATAAAATATATAATATAGCTAACTAAACTTTCTTGAAAAGTTTTTCATTGTAACATTTTTTTTAAAAGAGGGGAAAAGAGGTGGGCCACAGGTTGGACACAGCTGGAACCTCAACTACTCAGCTGCCTTTCCGGGAGCATGAAGGCCCGGACGGCGGATCCTGTACAGGCTGCCAGATACCCCCGGGGTGTGGTTCCGAGAATCCTAGATGACAGCACTTCTAGAGAAAAATGTCTGAAGAATCCCCTCTTAAATCCACAGGTGATTTCTGTATTCCTCTCTAGGCCACAGCACACAAACACAAAACACAGCTGGGAACCAAGAACGCGAAAAGGCACACGGTCTCAAGCCACTGCGGAGGGCTTACGTCCATTTCTCATCAGAAAGCCAGAAAGCCACTCACTCCAGTCTCTCTGGTCCTCAGGGGGTTATTTCACTGCTATACCGAAGGCCATGCCTATCCTAGCATTCCTGATGATCTCACTTTTCCACTCACAAGAGACTAGCAGCAGCAACTGTGAAAGGAACAGAAATAACTGTAGAGGCAGCACACGCCAGGGAGGAGCAACTAAAAGCAGGAGAACAAAGGGGGTGACAAATAGAAATTAAAAAGCAGAAATAAGAATTGGAAGTATGTGGGGCTAAACAGTGGCAGAGCGAATACTCTTGCTCAGTTCATACCCCAAGGGGGTGGCGCTGCATAGCTGTGTGGTTTACTGCAGAACAATCCCAGGCACAGCAACCGGACAAGGGGCTCTGACTAGGCCGCCAGGCCTAACCTCTTCCACAGTAAACCATCTCTCTGGGTTCCCCCAGGCCTGACCCTCAGTAAGAGGGGTCACAGATGGCTCCATCAAGGAGGCATTTATCACCCTCCTGCGGTGCTCCTCGCACAGTTCTGAGCCTGGGAAGAAGGTTAACGTGGCTGCTCCTGAGTCTCGGAACGCTCATTAGCCGGCCAGTCTTCCTGGCCTCTAAGAGTACTGGATGCAGACACTCTAGGCCAGAGAAAGCGAATCAGTGCCGACTTTTTCAAAAAAGACATCTTTAGGTTTGCAGCAAAGCTGAACACACAGCACAGATTTGCAGTAGACCTCCAGCTGCCTCACACGCCTGACTTCCCCTACTATCAGCATCTTCTGCCCGAGCGGTGGGACTTGTACAGTCTGTGAACGTTGGGCGACACCTCTTCATCACCCTCAAGTCTATGGTTTACACTAGGGTTCGCTCTTGGGGATGTCTACCCTGCAGGGCTGAACAAAACGTACATCCACAATCACAGCACTGCACAGTCGTTTCCCTGCCCTTAAAATGCTCCATGGTGCTTCTTCATCCCTCCTTCAATCTCTGACAACCACTGATCCTTTTACTGTCTCTGTACTTCTGTTTGGTCATACAGTTGGAATTAGACAGTAAGCAGCCTTCTCAGATTGGCTTTTTTGACTGAGTAATACGCATTTAAATTTCCTCCATGTCTTTCCAAAGCTTCATTTCTCTTTAGCACTGAATAATATTCCCTTGTCCAGATGTACCACAGTTTATCCATCACCTACCAAATGACAGACATCTTGATTGCTTTTCCAAGCTTTGTCAACTATGAAGAAAGCTGCTATAAATATACATGTGCTCGTTCTTGGGGGTGAATATGTTTTTAATTCTGCTGAGAAAATACCCAGGAGTGTGATGGCGGGATCATACAGTTAAGAGTATGTTCAGCTGGGGGATAAAAAGAATGTTTAATTTTGTAATAGAATGCCAAATGGTTTTCCAAAGTGGTTGTATCAATTTATGCTCACACCAAGCAATGAGTGAGAGTTCCTGTTATTTCACATCCTCACCAGCATTTTATATTGTCAGTGAACTGGTTTTGACCGTTTTAATAAGCGTGTAGTAGTACGTCATTGTTTTAATTTGTTTTTCCTTGATGGCATATGATGTGGAGCATCTTTTCAATTGGCTTATTTGTTATATATATATCTTCTATGGTAATATGTCTGAGAATGTCTTTGGCTTATTTTTTAATTAGGGTGTGCATTTTATTATTGAGTTTGAACACTTTCTGTATATTTTTAATATACGGTTCATTGTAAGATGGGTCTTTTGTAAATGATATCTCTTAGTCTGACTCGTCTTTTCATTCCCTAGACAGCACTGCTTGCAGGGCAGGAGATATATATTTTAATGAAATCCATTCTATCAATTATTTTCTCATGTGTTGTGTCTTTGGTGTTATGCCTACAAACTTATCACCTAACCCAAGTTCTATATTTCCCACTCTTCTAGGACTTTTATAATTTTGCATTTTACATTTAGGTCTGTAATTTAATTTTTGTGAAAGGTGTAGATTTCTTTCTATGTGGATATCCAATTTTAGCATCATTTATGTCTTAGCTACTTTTCTCATTACTGAGACAAAATACCCGACATCCAAAGTTATCAGGGAAAAAGTTCAGCTCACAGTGTGTAGAGATTTCAGTCCATAATCAGCTGGCTCAAAGGCAGGGTAGCTTGGTAGAGGGGCATTGCAAAGGAGAAACAGTTCATGAAGCCCACAAGGTAGCAAAAGCAACATGAGAGAAAACAAGCCTCTTTCCGTCTCTTCTATTGTATCCAGGCTACCGGGACTAGGGCACTGACAAACCAATTAGCATACTGATTTAGTAATCACTCACCCTTAATCCCAGCATCACATACTCTAGATTCAGCCACCTCTGAAAAAGCTCCACCTGTAACCAAATGAGGTTTTGGGGGCACATTATACACAAGCCATAATGATTGATTATAAAGAGTATTTTTTCTCCATTATTTTGCCTGATTGCAGTATCTTTATATAAAGTCTTAAAAATCAGGCGGTGTCCATTCTCTTTGTTCTCATCCTCAATATTGTGCTGGCTATCCTGAGTCTTTTGCCTCTTTATAAAAAACTTTAGAATCAGCTTGTTGGTATCCACAATATAACTTCTATACATCAAATTGGGAGGAACTGACATCTTGAATTCCAAATGCCCACTGCTAACATACAGAAAAGCAATTGACATTTGTACCTTAACCTCATTTTTGCAACCTTGCTATAATCACTTATTAGTTCCAAGAATTTTTTGCTGGTTCTTTAGGATTGCCTCCATAGAAAATTATGACATCTGAGCACAAAGACATTTCCATTTCTTTCTTCCAAATGTGCTTGCCTTTTATTTCATTTTCTTGTCTTATTGCATTAGCCAGGACTCTCAGTACAATGCTGAAAAGCAGTAATGAGAGGAGATATACTTGCCTTGTTTATTATCTTAGCAGCAAAGCTTCAAGTTTCTCAAAACTAAGTATGATGTTAGCTGTATGTTTCTTGTAGTCTTTACCATGTTGAGGAAATCTGCCTCTGTTCCTAATTTACTAAGAGTTGTTACTCACCAGTGTTTGATTGTTTTATCAAATATTTTTCTATATCTGTTGATATGGTCTTGTGATTTTTCTTATTTAGCCTGTTGATGTGATGGATTTCATTAACTGATTTTTAAATGTTGAACCAGTCTTGTATACCTGGGACAAATCCCATGTGATTATAGTAAATAATTCCTTTTATATCTCATTGGACTTGATTTGCTAATATTTAGTTGATGATTTCTGTATCTATGTTCATGACAGATACTGGTTTGTAGTTTATTTTTCTTGTAATATTTTTGCCTGGTTTTAGTACTAGGGTAGTGCAGG